GTTACAATCAACGTTCAGGGACATGTCATGTTACAATCAACGTTCAGGGATATGTCATGTTACAATCAACGTTCAGGGACATGTCATGTTACAATCAACGTTCAGGGATATGTCATATACATACGTGGTATACTTGTCATGTGAACGTGTGTGTAAGTCTTCTCATTCGACTTTGATTGGAAAACAAACTGTAGCGGCAGCCGTGTAGCCAAGTGGTTGAAGCGTTTACTGGTCACGCCGAAGGCCAAGGTTTGATTCCCCACATCGGTACAATGTGTGAATCTCATTGCTGGTGTCCCCCGCAATGATATTGCTGGAACATTGTTAAACGCGGCGTAAAACCATACTCACTCATTCACGCCTTGTGTCTATATAATGGTGCGAACGGTGGGGTTGTTCTGATTAGCGTGATGACACTTGCCCACCTCATTCTCATTATCTGAGATATCTGCTTTATATCCTCATACACAAACATTAATACTAAAAACCATATCAGCTATGCACCACACATAATGATGACATTTCTCAGATCTTATTTTGTATTTCAGCGTATAGGTCTCAGGATTTGCTGCTGCTTCTGCCACTCCGTGTTCTTCAAGAAAGACATTTGACATCCCTTTTTCTTTAGAGTTTGGATAATAACTGCAAGACTTCCATTTCTAATTTCGTTATACTGAAATAGCAAAATAGTGTTGTCACATCACTTCAGTAACAATGGATTATAGTCTTCTAACAGATACAATTATCAGTCTCGAATTGTCTACAACACCTGGAACTCTCTTAAGCACCACCCAAATTTTTCATGAATGGGTCAATTTACCGGCGGGCTGGTGCAAAATGCGTTCGAGACAACAGTATCCAGTGATGCTTACTGCTTACCAAAGTCATCAATCATGAAGAAAAGAATAGAATTTTGAATTGAAACAATGACATTATTAACATTTGGAAGAAAGACGTTATATTCACCAAAAAACAAGTGGAAATTACTATTGTCGCACAATATTTCCAACCAGTCTGTATCAACAGAATCCTAAACCAGTGGCAGTAGATGAAAAGACACAGTTCTTGTCAATACTTTGTGTAATCACCCTGCCACATGCCTTCTCATTCCAGGAAACATACGTTGCACTTGACGTTGAGACACTAAAAGCAACAGCAAGTTCACGTAAAGTTTGGACAGGTGGGTCCCCTTTTCGAACTTGACGGCCTAGAATGTCGCACACATGTTCTATTGGATTAAGATCTGGACTTCTTGCCTGCCAAGGAAGTATCTACCATTCAAGAACAGCACGTGATCTGTAAAGTCTAGCATTAACATCCATAAGGACAGGTCTTGTGGCCAACGCATGGTTGTCAAAATGGGGACAAACTGGTCCGTTCAGATTATCCTGCACAGTTATCAAGTCCAGTTGACAATTGAATGAAACACATCCTCAGGTCATAACTGATCCCCCACCGAATGGCTGGGTCTCCAGAATGTTGCGTGCAGCCATGACTGTAGTGTCCGGCCGTCTACCATGTGTAACTGAAACCGACTTTCATGAGAAGGAGATCTCCACCAAGATACAATATTCCAGTTAAGACGTTGATTACACCCTACGAAACGAGCCGCCTTGTGGGACTGAGTTAATAAGGGGCGTTTTCGTCTTCTGGTTCTGTAACCAGTTGTTTCAGGCGATGTCTGATAGTTCTGGTTGAAACCGCTCTGCCTGGTGGCCACTGTGCCTTAAACCTGTACTGTTGTCAAACGTATGTCGACTAACGAGCCTTAATAAGACTGCACCTTCTCTCCTGGATGTCTTGCGAGGCTGACCTGGGCGTGGCCTGTCCTTAACTTCATTTGTTGTTCGGTATGACTGCGCTAATCTTGATATTACATGGTGGAGTACAAGTTGACTTCCCATTTCCCTACAAGACATCCCTGCATATTTCATTCCAATAATCTGCCATCTTAACTCTTCAGACAATCTCCGACCTGTCATGATAATGATTTGTCATGTGCATGCAGCCTGTGTTGAGAAATATGGACATGCAATGTTCAATATGTGTTTTTAGACATTTCATGGGCATTGTACCTAACGTGCAGTGTGTGCAACATCAGTGTGTTAACAGTGATATTGGCAATGGTATGGTGTGGGAAAAGGGCCCTAATATGTAATATATGGATACAATATATTCATTTTGATTTTGATTTTTGTGGTACGTAATCAATTCCCAGATGTATATCTTGGTCTGTTACACTGTTGTACTGTTTACAGTCTTGTTCCTCTTGAGAGAAAGAAGCCATAGTAAGAATTTGTGTAAGAATAGGGCTCTGTCTTAACGTGTAATCATTGTACTTAGTGCATTTATTGTTTAAGTTCTTCACACTTATTTAAAGAAAACAGTGTCTCTCGAATATTTCCAAAAACGTCCGGGTTTGGGGGATGAAAGGTTTTAAGAAAACGGAGAACACTATCGTTAGATATATGTTTAGATTGTAGACCACAACAGTTTCCTTATTTCGCCTTGTTTATTGCATCTTGTATTATTTCCTGGGGTAGTTTCTTTCTAATAATAAATCCCTCAGTTCATTGCTTCTATATTGTGGACGATCTGAATCAGATACTATCCCGCAGATTCTATGTGCTGATGAATAATTAGGCATTGTATCATAAATGAACGTGATATTCTTTGTTTAATAAGCGATTTGCTAATGCAAAATATTTATCAAATGTTAACGTAAGTAAATCCAGAGTGCAACTTGCAAGATTGCGTTATAGTTCACATGAATTATTTATTGAAACTGGGAGATATACAGGTATTCCACGTGAAAACAGAATTTGTCAGTGTTGCAACTTAAACTAAGTTGAAGACGAATACCATTTTGTTTTTGTTTACCCTACATATTCGGAGTTACGAGGCGCGGTCGGGTAGCCTAGTGGTTAAAGAGTTCGCTCGTCACGCCGAAGACCCGGGTTCGATTCCCGACATGGGTACAATGTGTGAAGCCAATTTCTGGTGTCCCCCGCCGTGATATTGCTGGAATATTGCTAAAAGCGGCGTAAAACCATACTCACTCACTCACTCACCCGGAGTTACGACTTGAGTATATTAATAAGTTTAGCAATTCTCCTTCTGTGTTAAACTTTAATTTACTCATGTCAACAGAAAATGTTATACATTTGCGAAACTTATCAATGTATATACATGTATTTCATGCTATGAATTTTAGAAAATCTGCTGGATAAAGGTTTGTTTGTAATGTAAGACTCACTACTGTACAATTTGTAATGTACTATAGGGGCGGTCGGGTAGCCTAGTGGTTAAAGCGTTTGCTCGTCACGCCGAAGACCCGGGTTCGATTCCCGACATGGGTACAATGTGTGAAGCCCATTTCTGGTGTCCCTCGCCGTGATATTGCTGGAATAATGCTAAAAGCGGCGTAAAATCAAACTCACTCACTCACTCACTGTAATGTACTATAGGCCTGTGGCCTTTAAATATGTGAAATAAAGATTGATTGATACATAGTAGTGGACACTGTATTTTTTGTATGATGGGGTGACAGGAATTGTTATTGAGGTACTGTTTGAAATCGGTTGGTTTGTAATAAACATCTGTTCCAATGGTATTGTTTCATGTTGTAACAGATTACATCTAGGAACGAGAGACTTTTATCCTTCATGTCTTAAGTAAAGGTTAAACTTGGATGGAGTGGCTGTACATTTCTAGGAAACACTGTTACTCCTTTTAACTACTACTACTAATAGAATCATTTTGATAATTGTTTAAGAGCCGCTCTCTCATTGATTTGTAATTGTTTGATTTAACTCTTTGAGGGTTTACTGTAAATTGTAAATCTTTGTATAGGATAAAACACGTCCGAGGGTTGTTATGATATTTAAAACCCGCATCCCGAGGGCCTTTCCCCGAGCGATTTTTCGAGGGAAAGGGTTTTAAATATCATAACAACCCGAGAGGAAGTGTTTTATCTTACTTATAAACCGATTTTGAACCTTAAAATTATCCCCAAACTAAATTTCAACCCATTATAAGAATAGTTAGTAACTTTGTCTAATACTTTGTTATCACCAGGTTTTAGAGTGAACGTGTTTTTGTTTCTAACTAAAGAAGTATCGTCATTATCGGCATCAACATCAACATGATTTCTCCTCCCTGGGGGGTCCTCGCTATGCCTAAGAAGGAACTATGGTCTTGTTGATTAAAGCATTGTCATCCATCTTCATCTCGACCTCGACCTCGTCCTTGCTTATTGAAATGCCCTATCTGTTATCACGGGTTTGTCCTTCAACCCGGCAATTGACGTCTTTGGCGACCTTGTTCAGTTTTGTCCTCATGATCATGGAGTCAATATTAACCAAAGCGCGACATTGCGACAATGCGACAACCCGACATTTTTCAGTTATTTCACAGCGTGTCAGCGTGTCGGAGGAAATCCCTTAGTGATGTATGTGTATGGTGCTTGGATTTGAACACGCGATCTTAGTTTTCTGGTACGTCTAGGACACAGCGAACTGCGCCGTCTAAAACGACAGGGCCAACCGTGTGTCATTTGAAAAAAGACCTGAATTAAATTAAAAAGAAATGCAAAGTGTTTGTTTTTTGACATGGTACACATGTTACTCCGAAGAATTCCAAGTCAAATTAACCTGAAGAATATGCGTTGGCTGTTTCTGTGATAAGGTTTGCATCCACGTAACCAATCTGAGAGGGGATGTCTTTCACACCCTAGGGGTATGTGTGTTAGTTTTAATTACACGTCTGAGTAAAGGATGCAGCTGCAATAACAGCTTTAGTATTGTTCAACCCTCGTCAGTCCCTGCAGTCATTTTCGTTATTAGAAACTGCGACGAAACGCTGTGATGTGTTGCGATAACGTATTGATCAGCCTCAAGATATTCCGTATATATTGTCCATGTCTCCGGTCATGTGACCGCCTGGTATACGAATATATACAGTGACTGTCAGTCCCTCACAACATCTTCGTCATGGTGACAACGATGAACGACGTTTGGTCATCTCGGACACTGGCTGCAGTGATGACCCTGGTTTGTCTGGCGACAGTGGACGCTGGGTGTCCACACACGGACCCCGGTCTGAAGAGATGGAGCGATGCCAGCACGTGGGGAGGGACCAAGCCAGGGGGAGGCCAACAGGTGACTAAAGCCTAAGTGTAGCTTTTCATCCCTAAAGATGCCGAAATAAAACGAAATATTGTAACAACTGAAATATCCCAATATTACATGGAAACCAAAAAGATACTATTAGATACTAAAAAAACAGTATCCCATTCAGGTATATGTGTCTTAATTTGAATTAAAACTTTGACCATATGATACGAAACACCACTTGTGATCCACAACGGATATGTGTTTCCACCGTGCTAATGATCAATCGGCTGGTTCAAACATTCGGCTATATTAAAGACCTTAAATCCTGAAGCAAAAGGGTCTTCTTCTTTAAAATTATAATTGTTGATTGTTATACAGAATTATCTCTTCCTGTTTGAGTGACAGAGTGTTTCGGTCACATGTACGGTAGTTATCTGTCTACACGAAATTAATCC